GGCGTCTGTAGGGAAGGGGAGTCAAAAAAGTCAAAATGGCAGCCATGACCCTTTTATGCATGTTAAAAGAGGGCTAGGGCTTCAGTTGCATAGTTATGGCTACCATCTTGAATTTTTGACCTCCCCTGCAGATGCCCCTGGCAAGACATGACCCCCCACATCTCCTTTTCACCACTCTCTATCATTCCCTCCCCTCCCCTCCCCTCCCCTCCCCATTGTACCATTGAATTTAAGTGTAGGGCTTCAGTTGCATAGTGCTAAACCACTAGGAAAAAGCCATTTTCAATTTTCCATATTTGGGGAGGAGGAGAAGAAAAGAGAACTCTGAATGGGTTTGTTGGATGACCCATCGGTTTCTTTTCTTGGCTGTCCATGGTCTTCTCAGGAATCTTCTCCAACACCAAAGTTCCAGAGCATCAATACTCTTCCTATTCAAAGTCCAGGTGAGACTTTATGTGCCTATAAACAGGTCAGATTTATTAGATTTTGGCATGTTAATGAAATGCTGGAGGTGAGTGATCAAATGGAGAAAGTGGTTGGCTGTATTTTACTGCTGAATCTTTTACATTACCATTTTGCCTGGTGAGATCATATTTAATCCTAGCAGTAAATACAGAAATGATTCGCCAACTTCTAATCAGCTAGGATGGTTAGTACTTCTCATTGGTATCTCCCACCGATGTCAGGATTGGCAGCTAAGGATTAAGATGAAGCATATACAATGAACATATCTAATTATGTGACATTAAGAGAAGATAGGCAGTTCCCCCCCCCCCAAAAAAGATCAAAGCCCAGAGCACCTTTGTATGAGATCTTAAAGTTAAAGCCTCTGTACATATTGATGAAGTCACGGTAGTCATAAGTACGCAAAGTGTTCTCTGCAAAGAAAGAGGATCTCATTTTCAGAGGGGCTAGTTAGTATTATGTGGCAAAAACCACATCTAGTTCGGTTTCCGTGGATCATAAGCCACTTGATCAAGCAGTTTTTATCTCTGTATGAGATCAATAGCACATAGCATGGCACAATTAAGGCTAGAAACTTAGCCTACCTGCTTTATCTTTCCAAAAGTGCTATGTCGAAGCCTCAGTTGACCAGAGCCATTGTGAACAGCAGAGACCAACACTGATGGGTCATCTGGGGATGACCATGGAATGTGGAAGAGATTATATTTCTTTTTTTTTTTATGTCTTTAATTACTTTAGCTTACTATTTATTAATCCTTTTCTGGGCTCTGCGTAATATTGTTCAACCTGATGAATAGCGTGAGGGTTATGTATGACATGCACTTAATAGATGGATGAATCGATAGAAAGAGATAGATACGATAGATAGATAGATAGATAGATAGATAGATAGATAGATAGATAGATAGATAGATAGATGAAGAGTTTCATGGGAAATATCAGATTGACTGTTCAACCTCCATTCCCAAGATTTTTATTTTTTTATTTTTCAGCAATTCTTTGCCCTGCAAAACAAAACATTACCCTTCTCATCACTTCAATTATTCCTTTTAAGGAGGAAAGTTGCATCTGGGAGATCTTTCCCCTGTAGTGTGTCTCTCACTGGTAACAGTGCAATTTTAAACGGATTGTCCAAAATAGGATAGAAGCTTCATATTGTTTATTTGACTCTATTCCCGCCAATCACTTGTTAAATTTCACAGTATTGTTTTATGTATTTGTTAGTTTGTCTGCTTATACAATTTAACATGGCTGCCCATCTCATAACAATGACTCTGAGTGGTGTTCAAAGAATTAAAACCAAAAGTAATGGAATTCAAATAATCAATACATCCACATAACATATGTCCAAGGTTAATTATATTAAATCTGCACAACAGAGTAATTAATTCAACATTTAGTTCTAACTTACAACATTTTTTTTAATACTGTATTTTTAATTGATTTTAGCTGCTTTGTAAACCACCAAGGGTAGTTTTTTTAACGAGATGGGCAGTGACACATTTGATATATAAATACATTTTTTTAAAATGGCATCTTTATAGCTTTTCTTGTATGCCCAACTTGATAGCATGGGCTTCCTGAAACTGGCCGGGTCTCCAGTTTCACTCCAAAGACTCAAATGTTCAGAGGAAAATAGCTAGGCTAGTTTTTGAAGCCAACCCTGCCAAAAGTCAGTGGGTCATATCATATCAGCACAGAAGCAAGAGCAAGCCTAACAATTTATATTTAAAAGGTTTGGAGTAATTAAATAAGCATTATATTGTAAATTAATATTTTTCCACCATCTTGGGAGAAGCTGAAGGAAAGAGAAAGAAAAGACCATTGACAAGGTGGATGGGTTCAACTACAACAGCAGCGAATGTACCACTGAGAGACCCCAAAGGCCAAATCGAAGACAGATCTATCTATGTGGTCACTAAAAGTTAACACAGACTGGTTGGCACTTAATCAAATCATATATTTAAACTTGGTTTGTTTCAGGGTGGTGAATCATGCTTGTTTTAGAGATGAGAGATGAGTTAAAGATCAGTGGAAGGGGTCTCTGGCAGTCCATGTGTCAGAACCTACATCAATCAAATATCAATTTAAAAAGTTATAGCAGTCAATGGATGTTTGCTTGATTTGATTCTGCCATTTGTATCTGGGGTGTGTGTGGTAGTTTATAGTTGTGTTTGTGTTATTGCTATGAGATGGAGAGGCGCTCACACTGATATGGGAATTTACAGCAAGACCTGCATACAGACAAAAACGGTGGTAGTCTGAAGGCTGGGAAGAACTGTGTAATCAACGGGAGGAATGTGCAAGGCCACCATTCTGTGAGAAAGGAGTTTGGTGCCAATGTAGTAGGCGGGGGTGGGGTGGGGGGAGGGAATAAGTAGAGGGAACTTTACACAGGCTTTCGTTTTAGCAATGCTTTGCTTCAAGCTGCATGTACCAACCAATAAAG